ATTTTTTGTTCAATCTTTATCTTTAATTATCTAATGATTTTACTCCTTTCCTTCTTTTCTTCGTTCTTCACAATCTTTGATTCCGAACACAACTGTATGGATGAGAAATTGAATTACTTAGAATTTATTTCGTGAGGAGAAACGTGAAAGACCTGTTGTAATTAGAATACATTCTTATATCTTCTAAAAGAAGTAAAAGAGTTACTAATTATGGACAAGTTGTTTCATTTGTATACATGATAGTTATATCGCCAATATATATGAATTGTTAAAGAAATTGCTTGTATTATTACAGGATTATTACAGAAGTTCTATCGAAACGTAACAATGTGGTATAAGGAGGTAAAGGCGAGTAACGACAATGGAAATGTCATCAACCGTAGATTGTAAAAAGCAGCCCTGTCGAAAAGGCGACATGTCAGACTCGTCGCGGTATCTTTATGGCCATCTTCCTCCCGACATTATGTCGAAAGGACTTCCCAACAATGGTAATGGCACAACATGTTAATATATCACGCAGGATACAATTTTAAAAAAGATCGTCACATTTTGCGATATGGTACATGCATGCACATGCTCGTACGGACACTCGCGTTTATTTATTTTTACGTACGTTTCGTTATTTATTTATTCATATACTCAGTTTAAAGATGTGCCGTACTGTTTTAGGCATAGGAGGAAAATTACACCAACTCGAAGGGCTATTCATCGGTGGTTCGGCCCAAGGTGGACGAGCGGGTCATTTCGTTTCGATTGAGACGCTTATCGACGTTTTGCTCGTGCTCTACGACGAATGCTGCAATTCTTCGTTACGTCGTGAAAAGACTGTTTCTGACTTTATTGAGTTTGGTAAGCAATTAGCGTCGTCTAGTGAGATGATAACTTTATCATCTTGATTTTTAAACCTTGAGCGTACACGGTTGTCGCACGCACGTCACTTACATCGTTGATTTTTTTTGTATTGCAGTGAAACCGATAGCTTCGTGCATCAAGAGTTTGCAGTTGACACGGGAGGACTTTGAGATTGTCAAGGTCATTGGGAGAGGTGCTTTCGGGGAAGTATGTGTCGTAAGAATGCGCGGCTCGGACAAGGTGTTCGCCATGAAGATTTTGAACAAATGGGAGATGTTGAAACGTGCTGAAACCGCGTGCTTTAGAGAAGAAAGGGACGTATTAGTGTACGGTGATCGCAGATGGATCACGAATCTGCATTATGCCTTTCAAGACGACAATAACTTGGTAAATTTCGCCTTGCATTATATACTAGACGAAAAGAAATCTTTGATCTCTCGACTGATCGTGACGATTGTCTAACTTGCTTTTTTACATTCCGTTTTCGCAGTATCTGGTCATGGATTATTATTGCGGAGGAGATTTATTGACGTTACTGAGCAAATTCGAGGATCGTCTACCCGAGGATATGGCTCGATTCTACATAGCGGAGATGGTGCTAGCTATAGGTTCTATACATGACTTGCGCTATGTGCATCGTGACATTAAGCCCGACAATGTTTTACTGGACGCGAATGGTCATATCAGATTAGCTGACTTTGGCTCGTGTTTACGACTGTTCGAGGATGGTACGGTGCAAAGTAACGTCGCTGTTGGTACCCCGGATTATATTTCACCAGAAATATTGAGGGTATGTAGTCTATTACTGTTCGTGATACACGTTACGTTACATCTTTCTCCTTTATCGTTCACGTATACGTGATGTGTGATTTTATCGTATCTGTATTGCCTTATGTCATTGCTTGTTTAGGCGATGGAAGATGGTCAGGGACAATATGGTCCTGAATGCGATTGGTGGTCTCTTGGAGTATGTATGTACGAGATGCTCTATGGCGAAACACCTTTCTATGCGGAATCTCTAGTCGAGACTTATGGAAAAATTATGAATCACAAGGTAATACCTCTGAATTTTTGAAAGATTCAAAGGCACATTGTTTGCTTATTGGTATAACGTTAACATTTCCTTTTTACAGAATTGTTTTGATTTTCCTCCTACGGACACTATGTACGACGTTTCTGAAGAAGCCAAAGATCTGATGCGGAAATTGATTTGCAGCTCTGAATTTAGATTAGGTCAAAACGGAATTGAAGACTTCAAGGTAATTTTCGTTACGATAATTTCTGACGACGCTATTTTACGCTCCAATCCATGTTTTGTCTTTTAAATTTTTACAGAAACATCCTTGGTTCGACGGCGTCGATTGGGATACGCTCAGAGACAGCACTGCGCCATACATTCCTGAAGTTTCCTCACCCAGTGACACGTCCAACTTTGACGTTGATGATACCGATGTCCGCACTTCCGACGCCGTTCCACCAGCCGCGAATTCTGCCTTTTCCGCGCTTCATTTGCCATTTGTTGGTTTTAGTTTCACGCAAGGAAGGTACGAAACGTATCTTTTCTTTCTGTTATATTTACGCTGTTATTTCTTTGAGTTTCGCGATACAAGAAGACGACTTATAGAAGCAACAATCATATGATCCAAGTAATAATTGATATTAATAAATAAAGCGGATATGATACGGCGAGAAATGCACTTGTATGTATCTAATTGAATCTGTTGTTTCGTTGAAGTTTTCACAACAAATCGCATATCTCTTACGTAAAGGAATATTAGCTTTTCCATGCCTTTTATGTCGTTCATATTGCGTTAATTTCGCCAGCTAATCGGATTTAGGGGTGGAAATAGTTTTTTGATGCGAACAATAATGTAAAATCGATTTGATTCAAGTAGATGAGAGCTTGGCCTTGCTGTAGCGATATCTTCGGTTGATTAGTGACGCCACTCACGTTGCAAAGGCCTTCGTTATGCTTTCGTTCATTAAACGAAATTGCTCCTATTTATGATGCGAAGTAATGGACGAATCAAGTCGATTGTCGCGGACAGATTGTTGCTATATGTCGAATCGACCGATCTTTATCAGTAATATATTTTATCTACCACTTCGGTTTTTAACATTACAGTTGCATATCGGATCTGGGTTGTATTTCCCCCCTATCTCAGACAGACAAACGTATACAGATACTCGAGGAAGAAAACGCACGATTGATGCAAACTATTGACGATATGAAAAATCAATCGATAAGTCACACTTCGCCTGGTATCTCGCCAGATTCTAATAATGCGACCAGGAAACTTCAAGATGAAATAAATACGCTTACGAAACGCAATTGTGGTAAAGTTATAAGTTTAAATTTGTCGTAATGTCGTCTGTTCATGTGTTTCACAGCATTAAAATCTGTTTGTTTTTTACAGAGTTGGAGTCGCAGTTGAAATCTATGGATGTTCCACGCGAATTACGAACTTTGGATAATGGTGACATGACGAAATTCCGGGAACTTGAGAAGCTAGTTCGATGTCTACGTTCGGAGAAGGAAGATGCTATCAAGGACAAGTTGGACGCGCAAGAGAAATTGAAGCTTCAGGACAAAGAGTTGAAGGACGCGCTCACGCAACGTAAGCTCGCGATGGCGGAATACACGGAAGTGTCGGATAAATTATCCGAACTGCGGCAACAGAAGCAAAAGCTATCGAGACAGGTTCGAGATAAGGAGGAAGAGTTGGAAGTCGCGATGCAGAAGGTCGATACTTTACGCCACGATATTCGGAAAGCTGAGAAACTGCGCAGAGAGCTGGAGAATAGAATCGACGAAGCGATGGCGGAGACTAGCAAGGAAAGGAAATTGAGAGAGCGCAGCGAGGAATATTGCAAGCAAATGCAAGAGGAGACAGAGAAGATCAGACAACGTTCTATTGGAAACGACGCCAGCGCGAATCACGCGTTGGCCACTCAGGAAATTAACAGGTTAAAGGCGGAAGTTGAAAAGCTTGAGGTTCAGTATAACGAAAACTTGACTCAACAGCAAGGCAGGTTTAATCTCGATATTCGAAGTCTGCAAGAACAGTTGCACGAAGCGGACGCTAGAAGAGAGCTGTTAGAGAGGGAAGTGCAACTCACCAAAGAGAAATTGGATGCTGCGAGATTGGAAAATATCACCGACAGCGAAGAAACCATAAACGAGTTGAGTAGACGTCACGAGAGGGAAAAGATTATGCTGGTTGAAGAAAATAAGAAGCTCGTGTTGGAGCTCGGTGCCCTTACCGACAGCGTTAATAGATTACAAGGTGAGAGAAGGCAGTTGGAGGACGAATATGAGGAGTTGAGGAACAAGAAAGAAGCTATCGCGCAGTGGGAAGCTCAGATCACCGAAATTATTCAGTGGGTATCGGATGAAAAAGATGCTCGTGGATATTTGCAGGTACATTTGAATTTTAATTGTTCATCCTTGAATATCTATCACTATTATTATCTGTCGAGATACGATAATGACATATATATAGATCGAAGGAAATTTCTGTTAGCCTATTCGCAAAGAAGAGAAATTATTATTTATTCTGATTATAGGCCTTGGCTACAAAAATGACGGAAGAATTGGAATTCTTGAAACACTCCGGCGGAGTTAGCGGCGTTGGAAGTGGAACCACGATGGCGGATAAAAATTGGCGAAATCGTCGGTCGCAGAAGCTCGATAAGATGGAACTGTTGAATCTGCAGAGCTCCTTGCAAAGTGAAATACAAGCGAAACAAGCAATTTCGGAGGAGCTCACCAAGACTCGCTCGGATTTGATAGCCGCACAAAAGTAATTTTTATTGATAAAGAATTGATAAGGAAAAACAAAAATAATTGCGAACAAAAATAAGTTGTAAACGAGAAACGATAACAGATCGAAGACCTTTGTTCTTATCTTTCTTATCTATTTATCTTTTTTTTTCCAGGGAATTGAGAGATTTCAAGCAGCGATTGGATACCATGTCGCACGAATTGAAGCGGAAAGATATGCAAGTAAAAGAGCTGCAAGCGCGTCTCGATACCGGGGATGGCTGTAAGTACATTTCAATTGACAATGTGGAAAGCGAGAAATGCACAAAAGTCCGTTTGTTATATCGCTATGGAAATATTGCGTCTACATTTGTTCTGCAAGTCGCAGCTATACATGTGTATACATATTTGGTAGATGTGTTGATCTCTATACAAGTGTTGAGAATCTCTTAAATTCTAGTCTCTACTATAAAGAAGTTACGACGTGCGCGCGCGCATGCATACACACACGCGCACACACACAGAATATTTTACTGGGACTATTCTAATCTTATTGAAAATCCTACAATTATACTTGCACTTTCGGTGACAGCTTTTGCATGCGTATCTTCAAACCAGTGTAGTTTTGTGGCAATATTACATATTAATATAATTTTTTTTTCTTTTTTTTATATGCAATATTATTCATTTGTCAGGTTATGATTATATTTATGCTGTAATGTTTGAACAAGTATTTTTAATTGCGGAGGAATGAAGAGAATCGTTAAACGTATACTGGAAAAGAATTTTCAATCAATGAACGTTCAAAATAAGAGAATTTAAAATGTTATGTATGTACAATCTCCTAGAGAATGATTTTTATAGTTAAAAAAACTTTATTCTATTACCGAGATGAAAGTAATGCGTCGCAAAGTATCTGGCACAATAATCTCTTTGTACAATTTTATATGGTCTAGTTCGGGTAACGTGATGAAGGCGCTATGAACATATTATGCATACAATTATCGAGAAACGATGATGTAACATCGATGATACCTTTCCCCAATAATCACTTTTATTTCTCTATTCGTAAGATCGTGGATAAGATTGATGATTATTCTCAATTCTGCAATACTTTGTTTATATATGGCGTGTTTACTTCTTTTACTTTTCTCGTCCAAATTTTATCTGCATTTGCCAATACACTATTTTAACAATTCTTGTTGACTCTGAACATGAAATAAGAGCTCGTACTGTTTCTTCCTCAACAGATGTACTCTGCGCGATGAGTATATTTCAGTTTCTTCTAAATGCTAGCACGGGAAGGCGATATCATGGACGATCGGTTGTTTGAATTGCCATTAATTCTCTTGAATACATATCTCATTTGTCACTTGACGTGGAAATGTTACCGGACACAATTATAGCTTCGGTCTGAGTTAAAGTATCGCGATTCCATTTCCATTCTTATTGCGCATAAAATGGAGAGGTGTAGCCAGTACCAGTGGAAGAAATCTCAATGTTATGAAAAGATAAGTTAATTATACGTATTTTGTTGTCACATATAACATATCTAAAGGACATTATTGAGATCTGTACCTTCACCGGTCGTTATTTACATGCGATAATCTAATTTATCGGTGTGCATAGTGCGTTTGAATCTCTCGAGACTGGGGAAAATGTGCTTCTTTTTCTAGAAAGCGCGAGGAAGATTTAATCGTTTGACACGTCGAGTGCGTTAAAATTTATTTCACATGTATCAATGTACAAAGTACGAATTTATAGAGATCGTTATTACTGGGATCTATGTAGCATAGTAACTCGATTCTCCAGTACGGTATGCGATTCTGATTTTCTAGACTACAAAGTGCCTCTGTTTATTGGCGTAACGAGCTGCGTGTGGGGCCTCTTGTTGCTCATCTTCAAACTATATTTGTGACAGCTGTCTCGTCCAGCGATACAACAAGCAAATCTCCAAACGTCGTTAGCACCAAACCCCAACGTATCATCGTACATCAGCCGTCGTCACCCCTACCAGTAATGCGTGCCCCCCGCATCACGACTTGTCGCTTATTAACTAGATTCGTTCCAGTCAACACGTTCATCAGTCAGAATGCCGTCGCCATCGTATCGCCGCCCGGTAAATGATGTGGCCAGCGACTTTGGATTGGATATTTTTCCGCTAATTGTACACTGCAGCGCTATGGTTTATTTCCTTTTTTATTTATTAGTCCATTTCTCATACCGTGGTTTCTTGGGAAAAACAATTTGATAGGAGTAAAACATAGCACTGCATCGCCTTTGAAGCTAATAACGAGCAGACGTTGATGTGTGACGTCCGATATCACCCCTAGTTCGAGTTGCAATATATTAATAGTTAATAGATTTTGTAAATGTATTTTTTTGACGATACAGTTAGCTTTAATAATCCTTATTCGATCGGTCGTTTTTTAAATCAATGGTTTAACAGATATGCGCGTTGTGTGAATTGTTTCGCTTTACGTGCCAGTAAAAACCAGTTGAAACTTGTAACATTTCAAAGCTACCTCCTCTAGCGCAATTCCATCTTGCAGTAGTTACATTTGCCATAACGGAGAGTGTGTAAAATGTGCCGTATTTTTGTATAATATTCCTTACATATATCTCTGACACAAAGACATCAGGGAAATACGCACGCAATTATTACCTTTTTTTTTTCCTTTTTAAATAATCTTTGAAGCATGTATACTTTACAAAATGTACAAGTGTGCTAAGAGATTTACCGTATTTTCAGGTAAGATATTACATGTCGCTGAAACCCTAGCGCTAGGACGATGGTGTTATTTTTCCCATGTTCGCAAATATTTTACATATATCGGCAAACATTCGTAAACTTTCATTATCATTGACACGTTACTCATCCGATCTGTCTCTCATTAGTTCTAGAACGTCCCACGTCACAGATGTCATATCTCGAGCACTTTCTCAAAGAAACGACAAGCAGCACGCGTCATGGAAGCGTCGACAGTGTGGAAGGTGACATCGAGGACAATCGTGCGCCTAGTATCACGAGCAGCAAAAGTAATCTGTCCGAGCTTAGTATCGTAAGTATCTTAGCACGTGTATATTTTATACAGTAATAGTATGAAAATATTTCACGGTATATGAGATATCACATATATCACTCAACTTTTACTTTATCTTTTTTTCATTTTTCTTATTTTCTTTTTCCAGGATCCAACTTCGCCATTATCCCACGAACTTTTGAACAAGTCCTCGGCCACTCACGGTCAAGCCAATTTGCAACCAAAGCCTAAATCACATCAATTTCTCGTACGGACGTTTTCAGCGCCTACAAAGTGTAATCACTGCACGTCTCTGATGGTCGGTTTAACGAGGCAAGGAGTCGTGTGCGAAGTGTGCGGCTTCGCCTGCCATATGCCTTGTTGCGACAAAGTACCTCCAATGTGCCCTGTGCCCCATGATCAAAGTAAGTAATCCAAATCAAAAGCAAAAAGATCTATTAGTTTTATTCAATATCTGGAAAAAAGAACCGGTGATTTTAGACAAAGTTCTAAGAATAGACAAAGATTTTGGAATTCGCCTTTCTAGCGAGTAAAGATTTATGTATTATACTCTTATACCGCGTCTCCGTATCTTTGTGATGTGTGTCGTTGTAGTTTCTCGTCACATAATATTCGTAACATGCTTGTTTCAGCGAAACGACCACTGGGGATCGATCCTACACGTGGGATAGGTACTGCGTACGAAGGATATGTCAAAGTGCCAAAAATGGGTGGTGTCAAGAAGGGTTGGGTGCGTCAATTCGTCGTAGTTTGCGACTTCAAATTATTTCTTTACGACATTTCACCGGATCGCAACGCTTTGCCGTCTGTGTATGTTTCGCAAGTTCTTGATATGCGAGATGAAGAATTCAGCGTCAGCTCCGTTCGCGATTCTGACGTGATACACGCTACAAAGAAGGACATTCCGTGTATATTTAGGGTAATGTTTCAACTGTCAAATTTTAATCGTCCGACTACAGTAGACTTTTTCTTTACATTACTCGTCAAGAATCAATTAGATCTTGGAAATTTCATGTTTCGAGTGATAATAACTATATATATTTTATTTTTTGCTTGGCATAAATTGTCTTTCTTTTTATTCAGATAACTACGTCGTTATTGGAGCCTCCTGGATTGAGAAATCATACGTTAATGTTGGCGGATACGGAGAGCGAAAAAACAAAATGGGTGGTAGCCTTAAGTGAGCTTCATAGAATTTTAAAGAGAAACAATCTTCCAAACACAACGGTATGTAGTTAATAATTGAAAATATTATAACGATATATTCTTTTTTCTTTGACATTACCTTTCTATTTCCTTTTACACTTCTCTTTTTTATATCTTTAATTATTATCACCAGAAAACGCTGTAAATGCCATTTTTTTACGAGTGTAAACATTAAAATTGTCATTTTTTGTCGTAGATTTTTAGAGCGAGGGAACTGTTGGATAATACCTTAGCGTTCATTAAAAATGTCATGTCAGGAGCGATTATTGATCCGGATCGTCTAGTCATTGGTACAGAGGAAGGTCTCTTCTGCTTAGATTTAGATCGTAGTGGTGAGTCATCAAACCGAGACAATTCTGAATTCCATGGTAGAAATAATAACAAAATAGCAACAAATACATATGCAAGATTCCGAGTTTCCAGGATTTTGTGAAAAAAAGAATCCCGAAAATGGCCTACTTTTCAGACCTATTTTCGAACGAATAACCCCTTAAGTAGATTTTTAAAATGCAAAAAGCTTACAAGTTTACACGGAGAATATATTTAAGTAAGCAATTATATTTGATATATACTTGAGCGTAAATTTTAATAAATTGCAGAAATTGCAAGAGTCGGGGAAGGAAAAAAGATATATCTTCTTGAATATGTTACTGAGGAGCAATTGATTGTGGTATTGAGCGGAAAACAACGTCATGTACGGCTGGTTCCAGTGCGTGCCTTGGATGGAGACGAAGTCGAGTGGATTAAAGTAGCAGAAACTAAAGGATGTATCACGTTAACGACTGGAGTAGTGCGTCGTAATCCGCTTAATTATTGCTTATGCGTTGCAATAAAGAAACAGGTAAGGACACACGATTAGTAAACGTTATGTACAATAAACATAGTAACGTAACATACACATAATACGCACGTTTCAACGTATGTAACGTGTCTTATTTTTGTAGAACGCATCGCAAATCATCATCTATGAAATAACACGTACGAAAACGAGGCATAAACGTATACGCGAATTAATGTTACCGTGTCACGCACAAACCTTACAAGTTCTCTCCGAGGGTCGCTTGTGCGTCGGTTATCCGTCTGGTTTTTCCATTTACAGCATTTTAGGAGATCATCATCCTATTTGTAAGTATAATATAAGACAAATATGTCCTCGGTATTGTCTACCGGTCCCATTATATCGCAATCAGCAATCTTAATTGAGACTTATTATTTTTGCTCCAGCTTTGGTCCACGCTGAGAATACGCTTTTGGGTTTCCTCACCTACAGTGCTGTGGATGCGTTACGTTGCATCGAGTTGGCACGCGGTGAATTCTTATTAGTCTTCCATACGTTAGCGGTGTACGTTGATAGTCAGGGAAGAAAGAGTCGAGATCGAGAGATAATGTATCCTGCAGTTCCTACGGCAGTTAGTAAGTATGAACATCGTAACGTCATGTCTAACTGATCGTGCGACTCTCGTCGATTGTTGAAACGCTTTAGTATTTTTAGAATCTCTTGTATCATTCATTCTCATTTACGAATTTTGTTTATTTCAAATTTTAGGCTATTGCGAGGGATATCTTTTAGTGTATAGCGAGACTCATATCGACGTGTTTGACTGTACATCCGGAGACTGGTTACAAACGCTTAACGTGAAACGAGCCCGACCGTTGAATGTTTCAGGCTCTCTTACGTCTTGCGTGATAAATGACATGCCATATGTTATTTATCTTAGCAATTTACATCAGCGTAAGTGTGTTTTTTGCATCTAAGAAACAGATGAAGAATACACTTTTTAACTCTTGCTACATTATCTGTTATCTCGTTTGCGCTGTTGGGTTAATTGGCTATCGTTTAATAACGTTAAACACGTTACTTCAGGAGAACTATTAAATCTAATGACGATGGATGCGAGCGGTAGACAAATTACAAGGCCACGACGAAGATTTTCACTGCGAGAAGGCAACAGAGCCGCGCGTCCTACAGACAGACGTTCGAAAATGATTTCTGCACCGACAAATTTCAATCATATTAGTCACATGGGTCCAGGAAATGGGATACAGGTATGCGTAAAAAGTTGAAAATCTAAAAGATTCTAAGCGATAACTATTAGCGTACGTTATATCGCAGATACATAGACGAGTTAGAGAGGTTCTAGAAGATAACTGGGTCGTTTTGGCTAATCCCAGTGTTGTATTCATGTACATTTGCGCAAGCATATTTTAAATATATATATTTTTATTATTATAGATACAACGTTTATTAGATTTGCCCACGACATTGGAAACTGCTGATCAACAGCATACGAGTCATCATAGTAGTTCTCATCTTCATAGTAGCCAGCAAAGAGTAAGTAATGCGAGCCATTCGTTTTTCGATGGACGAATGAATCTGCGATAATTTTCTCTCACAAGTCCAATTCAAACTCTTTGCAGTTATATGATGCTACGCTTCAAACACCCAACAAGCCGGCACCGCTGCCTCCTAGGCATCCCCCTTCCGACGCACGTCGTCTGAGCTCGCATATGTCAAGAAACTCTGGATATTCACCGCACAATGGTAAATTGATGCGTGGTGTATCGTGAGGCATATGTGACACGTTGAGAAACTCATTTTTTTCTCATGTATTTCTTATGTTACAAACGAAATTGTATGCGGGAAAAAACGCAACTTTTAATCTCCACCGTATTTTTACCGCGGTTAATCAGATGAAATGTGTATGTAGGCTCGACAACATCACGAAGAGGTCCCGCGCCACCACGACCAACTGCCACACCTCCTTCCTTACCCCGCACTCCGGTGGACCAAATTGATTCCGAATCGGTACATTTGCGTTCACACACCCCGATTTCTCTCGGCAGTATCGCATCTTTACATAACAAGGTAATTTATTACCTTTACTACAGGCATGTTACTTTGTACGTTATGATTTACTGCAACACAAGGGGACTCAACTTGCTTATTGAATTTGTCTACATACTTGTACGACTTTTAAAAATAGATTACGCGTTTTGCAGTTTTATAAAATGTATGTGCATGTGCTCACACAAAAATTTATTTATTTATTTATTTATTTTTATCTAGGAGCATCCATCTGGTGGCAGTCCTAGGCACTCGATAGCTTCGAACAATAGCTCAAATCCATCAACGCCACCGAGTCCCGCCCACGATCATGGATCGTCATCGTACGATTCGTAAATTTATTTAACACTTAAACGCGAGTGGATTTAGGTAAACGGTATGTATCTAGTATGTATTTAAGAGAAACGATCAATTCGGTATATACATACGCATATGTATACCTGTTCGCGTCCCTATATGTATGTATATATGTTAAGCTCTTATATTTTTACTATACATCTTCAACTCTCCGTCTATCTTTTCCCCTCCCCGCCGTTAAGAACGCGAATTTTGATAATCATGCTGTTGACTGCATGTAGACTTGTCAATCGAATCCAAACTTGTCAATCCGGACCTCTCCGTTGTTTGATAAATCGAAATTTAATTTTAGATTTTCGAGCCTAACATATATAGTCATATATTTGTAATGTACTTTACAGACACGCAGTACTCGTGTTTGATCTTTGAAATGGAAAGTTATTTCGCGGTATTGCCTTACCGTCGTGCAATATAATTATGCATACTTAACGTTATATGAGTTAAAACGAGTATCATAATCGTGCGCTTTGACGACTTTGTAATAATACACCGGCGCGCTGCGTGATTTTTTTTATGTGTGTGTGCGCGCGCGCGCACACAAACATAAACTGCGGCGAATTTTCTTCGCGGAACGATGCGTTAGTGCATTTCTGTAATTTTCTGATTTTCAAGAGTTTATATGTAATAATTTATGACCGCACTTAAACGAAGAGACCCATTATCATAATATAATGGTAAATTATTGTAAATACTTTATACCTGACGAGAGAAACGATGTATCGTTGAGCTCGCTTTGCGATGCCATAGCCATTTCTTTCGATTAGTTGTCCGTTCTTTACTTCGAATGGGAATGATTTCGAACAATTTATATAACGAGGAAAAAAAATTGGAATCTCAGTCAAATTAACTAGCAATAAAATTTTAAGCTATTTAATGTATCGTACGTACCCTCGACTTTAGACGAGAGCAGTAGCTGCGAACGTATAAGTATACTTAAACTAACGTTACACCGGGAATAACTGCGCGATTTTTACAATGCTAGTAGTTAGTCTTGTTTATATGGAGACTGTCGTGATAACGTGTCACGAGCACTACGAGACGAGTCTCCCTCGATCTTTCCTTTCACCGTGCATATACGGATGATAGCTCTCTCTTTTTTTTTCCTCTTTCTCACCGGCACATTCTCATTTTTCCTTTTGATAAAACCAAGTCAAGAAACAAAGTCGGAGAAGAGATATTTATGTATCGCTTTTGTAAGCGGCATCAATCGCGCCCCGCGACTATCCCCGGTTTAACGAGGTGACGAATTAAGACGGAGCGCGAATTCGATTCGATGCCTTAAAACGACTAAACGTTTTCTATCGCGTCATAACGCGCTGTAATGTGCACGGTATTATCCGACTGTGTGAATAGTAGAACGATCGTGTCGCGAGCTCCCGCTGATAATAAGTAGCTGTTAAGATAGAGGACTCACACCTGTGTGCGCTGTAGGCATACGCGATGTCGTCGTGTCCGCGAACACGACGCGGCGGAAAATATGTATCGTGTGTATATTCGAGTGCGTGTACCCCAACTGGAAATTAGAAACGAGAGAGTATTGTCTTTTCGACGATCGAAGGCATAATATCATCGACTAACAGAATCTTAGCGCGGATCATTTGAAGAAACGCTAGTTGGTAGTAGGGGGATGAAAAACCGTATTACAGAGCCCCGTGGCAATTATTAGACGTATGAAAGATCGTACATAAATACATTTAAGTGCAATGTATCGAAATTTAAGGATAAACGCTGAAACGAAATAGTGGGAAAGGCGACGAAGGGATATATTGTCAGGTCGTTCGAGGAAGTTAGTTTCTCCCTTTTGTAAATTAATATATTGCGAATTAGGTTTTAAACTGCGTGTACATTACGAGACTGCGACGCGCTTTCATTACTTTTGTACGTACAACGAGTGGGCGAAGTGCCAGTACGCGAGGCGGTATGACCAAATGAAACTAATTTATTTCAAACGACGATTGTACTGCTCGTCTTCGTAATTTAACAATCTACGTCGGTTACCGTCGGTTCTCTTTTTTTTTCATAGCTGTAGCTACGTTTTATAGCTGTTGTCGAAGAGGACGCGGTGAAACTAGGGGATTTGAATTATCGAAATTTTTATTACTTTCAAACGCGCTTTGTTAACGCAAATGACGTTGTGTACGTGCACACAATTGAAACATAAGAAAGGAGGTGTTACAATTACAACGTACATTTACTAAAAAGAGGAGAGAAAAGAAAACAGCCGCAGAAAATCGCGAGAGTTTGGTACAAGAGGACAACTGTCTCAGGATTTTATGCCAGTAGCTTAAGTACGGTATAATATTACCTAGCGATCAAGAGACTCCCGAACAAACTGCTGATAGTAATTTTACGTTCGTTGCTATGTCTCTCCCTCTCTCTCTCTATTTCTCTCTCCTCTCTGTCTCTCCCCCACCCCCTTTCTCTTTCCAAGTCAAATTTTTGACTTGTGAAAAGCAAGAACGATCGAAATTGAAAAGTTGGGTGATGCACAAGCACGTTGAGTAGGAATACGAGTTAAGAGGACGTCGCGCGATCGTACTTTAAACATCCTCTGATATATATCTGCTTCCTAGACACACATTACAGATACAAGTTACTATCGATGGCTAAACTCGAGCAGCCTTATTCTAAATGGACAGAAGAGACGTCAATGCTACGAGACGCGTGAAAAGAATCGTACCGCTATTATGTAACGCGCCGTTTGCCGTAACGTCGAAACTTGCGAAACTGCGAGTGAGATGACAAGTTTAGCGTTGGCCGCAATCGCAAGAATTGAAAGAAGGATACATACGAAATGGGCCCCTATACAGCACACAAACGTTGAATCAACATTGAAAAGACATTGCAGAAACGTCTGTCTGCTGAATCGTAATGTTCTTGTAGACGTTGTAATTCAACATTCAGAAAACATTGCTCGATGATCAAACGGGTTAGTGGTGAGCTTCTGACGCTTCCTTCTTGCTTATATTTGTATATATACAACATCTTTATAATGTTCAAAAATCTTGTAATGATATATTAACCGGCAAATATTAAAAACAATTAAATTGTTAAATATTGATTAATATTGCGTTTAGCAGAACGTGTTTTTTTACAACTGTTGATTTTCTGAGCTCAGATTAGAACATTCCTCTAGATCTAAAAGAAGAATCCAATCTGAATTCAGAAAATTTCTAAAGTTGCAAAATGTTGTACTAAACGCAATCATTTATTCAATTTATGTGCGATGTAGATTTCACATAAAATATTAAATTTGTATTAAAAAATTTTATTTAAGATAACTATCAACATATATATGTTAAATAAAAAATATCTTTATACAAATTTACAATATACATATAAAATATCTTTATTTGAATTTCAAAAGACTAATAATTTGTTCAATGTTGTAGACATCTAAAGAAGTGTAGAAGAATCAACGTAGATTCAACGTTAAAACGTCTCAGCAACGTTGTTTCAACTTTTTGTGCTGTATGTGGGGGAACGTCGCGCTGTACTTATCGATAGAATCGAATGATCCGCCTATTCTTCCGTTAACTGTTACTTAAAGGTTTTAAGACGAGAGACATCGACTGTTCGTATTTTGGTTGCGTCGTCACTTTCGGCCAGATCCGGCGATCGATGCATCACACGTATGAAAGGAATTGTCATTCCTGTATATAGCATTGATTTCGTCTTTGTAAATAACTTCGATTTCGGTCTACTTCTCGAATCTATTTAAGATATATATATTATATATATATATATATATACATATTCCCCCAGTGACCCCGATTGATGATTTGTGAGCCTATATCGTTATTTATGTCGGACATACTCTCCATGGGGCTACTAGAAGGATATTATCCGGTTCATTATTTTATATTATATGTAAAAATGCGAATATCGTTAGATGCGTATATTGTTCTTTTTTTTTAAATCAAGTATCGAGATATACGGCATTCTGCGCGCGACAACAAATTATATATTACGTATATACAGACTGTGTTACGTATATACGAATGTGACTAGCATTTTTTTACATAAAGCGGGCAGTCGGCCGTTTAACCCTGTATAACCCAGTTTTAATTGTTCCGAGTAATAATGATTTTTTTATACATTTTAATAACGCTATTTTACCAGACTGCTGGAAAAACTAAAGAAATTATTGCAATACCGAAAAAAACCTTGTCCCTCCGGTTTTCAACCCTCCACCATCGTTCCAAACATCAGTCGGTTTTTAATGATAATTTTTCTGAAAAGTGAAATTAAACGAGAACGATGTACAATATCGATCGCTCATCTTTTATGAAAAATAACAAAATTTCATGATAGAACAATAGGTTATAGAGGGTCGAAGAAACGCTGTTACGACATTTTAAATTGTTAATCTCTGTCGGCGTGTAACGGTAAGATTATATTATCACTTTGCAAACAATTAGACTAACGACCCACCTCCTATCCCTCTCTCGCGCATACACACGACACAGTACACACCCACACAGACACACACGTTATTTATAACAATATACGCGTATCGTTAGCAATATTTATTAAAGACGTATAGCGAAATATTATTTGCGCTTTGGATAAAAGTTGTACTTTATTGTAAATTATCGCGTGTGAGCTATTATTAGGAAGAAAGGAGACCAAACTTTATGTATCTAGTATCTCGCTATGGGGCGCCGAAACGCCCTGTCTCTGTAGATTTTGTAGTATTTATATCGTTTGTCATATTCTTTCTCGCGTGTGAGACTACCAGAAGGAGGGTAGCGAAACGTGTACAATATATTTTTTATTTTATCCATTCGAAAACGAGTTAATTTTCCTGTGTAGAACAGCTATATTAATAAAAGTAAAGGAGAGCCCATACCCGTTGTACATGATTAACCCCTTCAGCAGCATTGATGTTATTTTACTTCTTACTTTTCTGAAAGTGAAATAGAATATAAGGTGTAAAGTCCCGAAATAAAAAACTGCTTTCTTCAACAATGTCAACTAAAAATAAATATATATAGAAGCATTTTTTATCTGTCAGATAAAATGTAAGTGAATGCGATCTAATTGTAGAAAATATCAGGATATGCGAAGAGAGATATCGTGTTACCGAAATTAAAAAACAATGCGTCATTAATGTGCAGAGATAAGATCTATTGCTTTGCTGTAAATAAGATTTTGTGAAAAAATCGACATTTCAATTTTTGGAAAAAAAAATTTTATTAAAGAATCTTTTTTTGTGATTCTATGTGAGAATAATTGACTCGTAATTCCGGTTTGATTTTGATCCTGTTATATTATAACAGGTCAGTTGGAGATTAGAAAATTGTGAGTAAAGGAGTAAGAGGTAAATGGTAACTACATAGTTTCGTAAGCAATAAATTAACGTGCATGCATAGTAACGTCATTTCGTTCGATGCCCATTAATTAGGCAGAGGAAATAAAAGTGTTCACCGTTGTTCTATTTCATAATTTCAGGTTTAATTTCTTGATATTTTTCGTAGTATGAGTACATTGTTGATGATTCTCTTCCTCTTTAGTATTAGTAGCTTCCGGGAACCATTTGCATCCAATCGTTTGAAAATTTCGCAATGTAACATAAGATATTAAATTTGTTTTCCAGTAAAAAAGCAATGTAAACGATTATAGGATCGTTCTATTTTTCTTCGTCTTAAACAAAGATCGGCGCGGAAAACGCCATAATAACAATCATAGCTATTCACCCAATATGCTAAAAAAAACGTAAGCAACCGGCTGATCTTGTTACCGTTCTTAATTAAATAAATGTACAAAACATACCGCCCCACTTTTACATGCAGATACGTACTCCGCATATTCTTTTTTTGCTTCCTTCGTCATAATTACATTTTATTATTCTTGTTCGTATTTATAATTGCGTGTCTCTCACGGATGATTGCGCAAAATAAAATTTATAGTAAATCGGTGTTGTAATTGTATACAACAGCTCCAGCAATATTAATCGAATTACAATATTTAAATAGGTATTTAAATATGATGCGCGGACTTGAGGTTACAATTTGTCAAGGTATGCGTTCAAATCTGGGAGACCCTCCTTCAATCCCTTCCTTTTACGTGTATCCTGCAAAAAATACAAATTTTCATCAATACGTTGATTTGATTAGAACTGTGATAAGCAACTAGTTATCCCCATAAAATTTTGTTTATGCGAAAAAAATTGTACGTTTCCCTATTCAGGCAAACCAGAATAGACTACTGGAATACCGAAACTAAAAAACGGTTTTCTTTCCCACGAGATTAAAAATAGCGGCGCACTGAATCATCGCCGCCATCAGTCATGCACGTGGTGAGACATCGGTCCGTTTGACAAAAAGACCCGTATTTTGTCTTAATTATCCATTAAAATAGAAAAAAAGAAGATATGAGATAATACGCGTACCTGCACGACTTGGTAAGGTCGAGTGCTGAGTTCCATCGGGTCACCTGGCAGAATCTGCCAGTGATCGAACACGCACTGTGGGAAAGCCTGACCACCGGTGTTGGAGCGCAGATCGGCAGTGAAGCCGAAGGATTCGTTTACGGGAAGGTATGCTTTAACTACGAACATGGGAGTACCCGCCACCTGTTGTTCTTCGAACACGTGACCTCTCCTACGATTCAGCACGCCGTAGATACCACCGACCGCTACCTCTGGGCACTGCGAAAAGACAATTTCGATATTTAGCTGTCCTGTCGGTTTTCTAATGCGATTCGCGTGTAAAGTCGACGGTGCACGTCGTCGCGATACTTTACCTGAATTTCGCATAAGTAAACGGGTTCCATGAGACGGGGTGAGGCAGTGAGAAGACAGGCATAAAGGCAACGTCTTGTGGTAGGGATAATTTGACCACCACCTCTGTGGATCGCGTCGGCGTGTAATGTTACATCGTGTATGTTGAACCGTACACCTCTCAAATTCTCCTCCGAAAGAACGCCCTGCAGCAATGTGAAAGTGAATTATCGCGCGAACGTTAATAATCCGTGCGCTTGCGATCCAAGGCAGACATTTTCCTACCTCTTTCGTGGCCCATTGGAATCCAGCTACCACAGAGTCCTTAATTTCGTTGAGATACTGTACACCCTTAGTGCAGTCGACCAGTATATTGGGTCCACTGCCGTCAGGTCCGAAGCACCAGATTTTCCTCGCCTCCGTCACGTCATAATCGTATTTCTCGTTCAAGTAACGAGCGCGCACTTTGAAGTCATCGCGCGGATTAACGTCACCCTGCAAGTATCGAGAGATTAAAATTTTACCTTCGGATCAAAGCGTCAAACTGATTCGATTACTGCTGTGCTACTATCTTTCTCATTTAAATATCACATTTCATTTCGATTTTATTGAAGGTACTGCGATACTGATTAAATTTTCTGCAGAAAAAGAAATGAAACTTACACTGTCAATGTCCTCAGCAAGACCATCTGGCATCGGACAAGCCATCATGAACAAACGATTGTGCTTGTTCGGGGATTTCGACAAACACATTTGATTCGACTGTTCGGAGATCGTTTCTCTGTACGATACGACGGGATCGGACTTCTTGATCGGGATGCATGCGTGATCCTCCTCCAGATCCTTCAGACAAATCTCGAGATGCAACTCACCGGCACCGGCGATAATGTGCTCGCCGGATTCTTCGATGATGCACTGTACCATAGGATCGGATTTCGCCAAACGTTTAAGACCTGTTGAATTGTGCATAATTAAATCATTAACGGGCGAACGTGATATCGAATAATATTTAATATTCATCAATATATCGTCAGATGGAAAAATTTAAATCATGGATCTTCATAACCCAATGCTCATATAAGTCTCATCATATAAAATCAGTGTCTCGATTTCGTACGAGGCTGATTGAAGATTGTTAGTAAAGTAGTACGAGATAATCTAATTTAATATTTCAAAAATCACAGATTTCCAACAAAAGTTAATTATACTTTGAGTCTAAAAATTAATCAAATATAAATTAAGCTGGGAAGCTTACATACCTTCGACCAATTTTGGCAAATCAGCAGGATTCTTCGGCTCGACCGCGACACGCACGACAGGTGATACGGAGAACTTCATAACTTTCATGTTGTGCGCGTCCTTGAACGTTGTGATGGTACCGGTCTTAACCAAGAACTGATCGACGCCGACAAGACCGCAAATATTACCTGCGCAAACGAGTCATTGGTTATAACACGTGGATGCACAGCTAGATAACCCTAAATTTTATTTAGCTGCATCAGCTGGCCGTTCTAATCTGTCTATCACGATAAGTCAGAACAGGTCTGTGTAGAACAATCATCATTTTTGGAAATAAATCGCGCAGTTGAAAATAAGCATCGCAGCAATCTTGAGAGATATATATACTAACCAGAAGGCACATCTTCGATAGCTTCGACGTAACGACCCATCATCAGAATAGTACGCTGGATAGCTTTCTCATAGAGATCTTCTTTCTTGCCTGGTTGGAAGTTGGGTCCCATGATGCGGGCCTTCATGCCGGTACACACTTTGCCTGAGAACACTCGGCCGAAAGCGTAGAAACGTCCCTTGTCCGATGTCGGTACCATTTTCGAGACATACATCATCAGTGGTCCATTTGGATCGCAGTTCTGCAAAGAATGACTTAATTAATGAAAGCAAACTCTCTCAATCAATAATCTATTATAATTCTTCTCGTTTCAGTATTTCTCTTTCCTTCATTTCGCGGCGTGCGTCGGTACAGGTCTGTGAAATATATTCATCATGTGTTCGTGTCAAATATCCGAGCGACTCGAGCATGTATCACGAACCTTAATTCCAACAGCAGCCTCGTCATCGAGCGGCCCTTCGTACAGCATCTCCATACGGTATTTTTGAGCAGTTACAGGAGACGGCAGGTGAATGGCAATCATCTGAAGAAGAGCCTCTCCGGCAGGTAACCATGTTCTCATAACAACCTGGAAAAAATCACGCGACACAATGAAAAAAATTTCCCAAAGAAAGTAAACCCGCATGCGGACATCGAATGTCCGTCAGATACAGATTTAGCACTCCCTCATTATAAGTCGGAAGAGGTGTCAGAAAAAAAAGCTATGAAACTATCATCATGAAGCGCATTTACGTTCAATATGTATCTTTACAACGATCGAAAGAAGTCTACCTTCAACAGAGCTTTCCCGTCCTTGTCCTTATCTTCAGGTTTCAGCACAATATCCAGTTTCTTCAGAAGATTATCTGCTTCTTCCTTCTTGTAATTCATAATACAATCGAATACCTAGAAAGAATTTTCATTTTAGTTATCAACGTTTTTTTACGGCGATAACGCAGACACAGATCATCTTACGTAACGTTCGAGATTGCGAAAGCTCACCTTATAAATTGGATCTAAGACGTACATGCAGAAGGATCGTTTGTTATCGGCCTCCTTCTGTTTGCTCCACTTCTTGGTCTTCGGGTTGAAGAAGGACTCGCCCCATAGTCGGTTCATTAGTTTCACCACGTCAATCTTGAATTTCTCGGCGTACATCTCGGAGAATTGTTTTAGGGTAAAAGCCCAGCCGTGAAGGCCAGAACCGAAACCTACGGATCCTTTGCTGGGATCTACCTATTTTACAAGTATACATTTAAGAATGATATGCGCAAAGATTGTATTTTTTCACATTAAGAAATCTTTTCATCTCGCTTACTCGAACTTCGCCCATAGGTCCATCGTCGTCGGAGTACGTTGCAATAATAACGTTAACGTTCTCAACGATACGCTGGAAAGTCTGATAGAGATCTTCGCTATCGAGCTGGAGTTCCAATAGCGCGCGGTCCATTTTGTTCATGAATAAAACAGGCTTGATACGCTCAGCGATCGCTTGGCGCAGTACAGTTTCAGTCTGTACGCATACACCTAGAAGAAAATTAAGCGAATAATTACAATCACCTTTCTCATTTCAAGAAATTGTTGGTTACTTGTTTCCCGGTACGAATTATGCTACTACAAAATGATGAAATATACTCTGGAAACGATACAGTAACGTCATTAAAAAGGAAATGTAGCATCCGTATCGTAGCGTGTTAATAACGGACATAAGGATAGAGGTCCACTAACAGCGTTTAGACACAATTGCTTTTCTTTACTCTTCTTCCATTGCACTGTCAACACTGTCAACGTACGCCGATCAGTTTACGCAAACCAAACGGCATACTGCAGAGTAACCCTTGTGTGCTGGAAGACTCGAATCTCTCCAATCGCGGCAAAATCAAACCTGACCCACACGAAAGAGAAAAACCGGAAGAAAATCGTAAAACACATACCGGATACACAATCAACAACAACAAGGGCTCCATCAGTGACACGGAGGGCAGCTGTGACCTCGCTCGAAAAATCTACGTGTCCGGGTGAATCGATCAGATTAATTAAAAAGCCCTTCTCATCTTTGTCACGTTGATCAGGATTTTTGATAAAGACTAAATCTTTCTCATCGAGCTCGAAGAACATGGAAATAGCGCTAAAAGGAGAGTAGTAAGCGATATTAATGCACGACGATAATGGATAAATGTAAGATTTTCAAACGGAGAAAGAGCACGAGTGACCGCCAACTTACGTGGATTTAATGGTGATGCAACGTTCCTGCTCGTCCTTGCGCGTGTCCGTGAATCGGGTCTCGCCAGCCTTGGCGCCGGCGATAATGCCGGCCTTAGAAACAAGGGAGTCGGTCAGAGTTGACTTTCCGTGATCGACGTGCGCGATGACGGACATGTTTCTGATGTTCTTCTTCTTGTCCATCATGGCACGGATCTCATCTACCGTAAAGTTCACCTGCAACAACAGATTTCCCATTGAAAAAGAATAACTTTAATTTTATGGATTATATAATACATTACAAATTACAACCGTGTCACCGTGTGACAGAACCTTATTAACATATTGATCTGTGATTCAAATCTATGTGTGTGTGTAAATGTATAGACATACAATATAATCAACGGTCGGCCAGTAATAACTCGGTAATGATTCGATTCGCTACGTACATAATTTCTCCCACGACTATTGCAACATATTGCGACACCGGGGAGAAACGGATCTTTCACAGATTGGATTTAAAAAAACACTTTCTTTCCACGATGCAATATAAAATATTGAATCACACTTTGATCCTTGCAAAAACGTGATACCTTTGCAATGGATTTTGACAATGACCATATTGAAACATACACTTTGAACATTCGGCAAGATATCTAGAATTGTCTCAACCTGTTATTGGGAATCGGTTGAGATTAGGAAAGAAATTCATTCCATTGTTGTATGCTCCATTGTACTTATACAGTTATTCATTTTTTCATTCTTCACACGTTATTGGAAATGTGAATGTATGATACCACAAAAATATATCATTGTGACGTTCAACGGGATTTTCTTGCGTGCTTTCTTCGTTCCAATCTGCGTCCCGAGATCATCGTCGCCGAGAAGAGTCCCGAGGGAACAATACCGCCCTGGGAAACACGTTGCCTCGCGCATTAAAAGGCACGCGAGGCCCACCACGTTGGCGAGCGCAACACCGAAACATATTTCTTCCATTCGGGACACCCCGCGACGACTTCCCGAGGACGCTCGACGGCCGACGCGTTTTCCTGCTCGTAGATTCCCGATTCCGAGAGCGTCGAGGGACTTCGAGGAAGATTAGCGTTGCCCCGCTGGCCCCCTCTTCCCAACCGCTAAGTGAGCACGTTGCGCGTCGAGAGCCACGCGAGGCGCAACCATGACACGAGGCACATTTCCGCTCGCGGGGAACACGTCGCGACGACGCCGCGACGGCGAAATCTTTCTCGAGAGCTAGCGCGTCCCCCCCCCCCCCCCCCCCGGGTGGACGTCCCGTTCCGTCGCGTGGCCGACAGATCCGGATCCGGGGTGGGCCCCCGTGAGATCCGGGTGGCCCGCGGGGATCACACACGGACGGAATTGCGCAATCCGGAGTAATCGCGCCGTCGTGGCGAGACGCAGCGCGCGAGAGCGCGTACGAAACGCGGCCAACACGCGGAGGGGAGAGGATGCGCAGGACCGCGAGGGCCGCAAGCCTCGGCGTGCCCGGGCGGCCGCCGAGGGATATTCCGCGAATAATATTGGCGGCCGCGCGAGCGCGGCGACACGCGGGCGAGGATCGCCGCGGCGGCGTCGCGACACGGTTACGTACCATCTTGGATGTTGCCCGATTGCCGACGGCCTGGTTCGAATTATACGTGCACCAACTATGGCGGACTCCCTCGGAAAGAACAAGCTATCCGCCGTGAGCCCGTACGTCGCCTCTTATGCGTGAAGGGAGCGCCGCGTTGCGGCGGCGCGCGCTCCTGCGCTCGGCGCGCCCCCACCCCCCTGCCACCTCCCACACCCCGGGAACGCGACGCGCGTCCAATGGGCGTGAAGCTGCGCGCGCATGGCACGCGACCCGTGCGCGGCGCGTGTCCGCGTGTTCTTTCGGTGTTCCACTATACTTATGTTAGCACTAGGTTGATAGAATAAGCAGTATTGCGTGTAGCGAGAGATGGCGCAGCAATCGAACAAAGACAGATGCCTCTCGTTAGCAAGGACAGATTTAAAGAAAAAACATAGAAAAAGGTTGAAATTTCTTGACGTCGGTAATGTCAACATTTCTAATCCTGTTTTCTCTATATCTGTCCTTGTTTAACTTTACTTCGTCTCTCATTTACGTCTTTTAGTGATCAATATAACATAGAGAAGAACATTTTTCTTACTTAAAAAATAAAAATATATTCTTAAAATAAGATTAAAAGAACATGCAAAGTTTAACGTTATTCGCTTTCTTCGTCCCCCTATAAAAAATTAATAATTTTTATATTTTAAAATAGTAGACAAACTTTATTTGTAAATATACAATATGTAAACAAAAACTATTTAAATAATCAGTCATTGTTTATATAGATGGACACATGCGGATATCTTTCCTTCCATTGCTTGACTAATTCCTTATTTATGTCACACTGCAAGAGAGTAAACTCCTGCAATTTAGGACATTGTTTCAAAATAAGATAATAATTATTGCAAGGATAATCTTTCGTATTTTGAAGAACAAAAGATTTTAAGTTTTTGCACTGCGCTAGTAATTCTAACCGGTGATTAGTGAGGGGAGGAAAGTACAAACTAATTTCTTGCAAGTTTTGATAGGAAGAAAATAATCTAAAAAAACTGTCATCCGCTGGGTAATCGCATCTGTAACAAAAATCATATTTCAATAAAGAATACAATAATATGTGTATTTTAAAAGAAAATGTAGCACACACACACTTACAGATCAAGGGACACTTTTTGTAAATTCTTACAGTTAGCGAGAGCATTAATACCCTTAGTTGTAACATCTCCATCTTGTTCGAGGAACAGTGTATGTAATACTTCCAAATTACGACACTTTGCAAACTCTACCAAAATTTCATCGTTTAGCCAGCTTCCCAAATTGATCTCACGAATACGCGGATTATCTTGCAGTATTTTACAAACATGTTTCGTGGAAATTGGCAGACCCGAAAAATGTATAGATTCCAAATTATGTAACCCCTCGAAATACGAAAAATTTTCGTCGTAATCACAATAACAATGATTTAGATCCAATTCTAAAAAAAATTTGCATTAGTTGTTATGCAATTTACCCATAATATTGACAAATATATACATATACTATATGCATATACCTTTCAAATTTTTACATGCCCTTGAAATTTCACGGGACAGTAGGACAGGCTTTAGTCCTACTTTAGGCATGTCATATATGCGGCAAGCACTCAAGCATAAATGCGTTAAATGCCTGCCACAATTATTAAGAAAGTTTACAAGACCATTAACACGAAATTTGCTATCTGTAAGATCTAATTGTTGCAAATATTTACATCTAGGTGTAAAATAAGAAAATGCACGGCACATAGATTTTTTGGATTTATATGTTAAATCCAAATGTGTATAGAGTTCAGGGTCCTGTGTTAAATTTTTGAAGCGTTTATCCACCTTACTCATGAGGTATAACGTCTTCAGATCTAAATTTTTTAATATTTCTAGTAGTATTTCATTCTGCAAAGATAAAATATAAAACTTTAATACACAAAATAACATTACAATAAATATTATTATAAAAAATAGATTTTTTATAATACTTTACAGGAAGCGCCGATAAACTGCAACGTGATACCTCCTTGGATTCATCCGAAGAAAGTTCCATACTGTTTACACAATTGGAATGACTTTTTAATAGAATACGAGGCGAATATTTCTTTACAAGAGTTTGGCACTTGGTCGCAATGGCAGTTTGAAACTGAGAGCTTAAAGAAGACAATTCGGTAAGCATTCTTTCAATTTCGGTATCCCGCCTTTCAACTTGCAGTTGTAATG